GAGAAAATTAGCTTTATGTATCTGATATATAACTCTCGACTTACATTTTATTATTCTATAATTGAAAAAAATTTAATTTCACTGAAATCCGATACGAAAAACATAATTCCATATGTATGTATATATACATATAGAATGGGAATCAAATTTTCAACAATTTTCTAAAATAATAAAATTTATTCTTTCGTCGCGAATATTTCGTACCATTGCGTGTCTATATTATTCGAGATAAAACAAATGCAAATAGCAGTAGTATTAATATATATATATTTTTAAATATTAGGATAAAACATATAAACAAAATCATATTTCATAAACTTCAAAATTAAGTTTTATTTCATGCACAAGTTTTCAATATATACTTTCTCACGTAATAATAAAAAGCTTTTCCTCTATCAATTACAAAATACTGTGTGTATATAATAACAAACAAAAATATATTAAAAAAAAAACTCTCCATAAAATACCACGCAAGTGGTATCGAAACGCAAGATATAATTGAAAAAACGAGTCGTTGTATTACACCCACAACGAGATAGAGATAGATTTATTCCGTGGACGCAGATCGAAATCGAAAAGGAGAGAGAGGTGGCACGAGAGTAGGTATCGGCGCGTTATTATTATACGGGGAAACAGCAAGTGGCACGTTGGAAGAGTGGATCGAACCTTTCGATCGAAAACTTTGAAGCGAGGAGTTGCATATACACGCGGGAGAGAAGAAAGTTCGCGCGACGATCGGCGAAGATGACGGCGAGGAGATGGTCGTAACATGCATCTTCGCGTCGAAAGAATCGTGTTGTCGGAAAAGAAGAGAAGAGAGAAGAAAAAGAAAGAAAGAAAGAAAGAAAGAAAGAAAGAAAGGAGAAAGGAGAAGCGAGCGGATCGTGGATGTTTCTTCGAGATTGGTCGAACGTCGATTCTTGGATATCGGGGGGATGGTCGTTCGTCGTGTTGGAGAGCTGTTTAGAAAGCAAGCACGTCCGAGTCCTTCCTCGAATGGACGAGAATCGATATCTGGACCATCTCTCGTCGAAAGAAAAGAACTTCTTCCAACAGGACAAGATCTGTGTCCTACATATATGTAATAAAAAAAAGGAAAAAAGAATTTATCGCTCGAGAGGATGGCCTTCGCGCTATCGACGTTCTCCTTACACTTTTTTCTTTTAATTAAACCGATGTGTTATCCGCCAGTTTCCTATATTTTTGAACATGGTATGACGCTCGAGAAGTTGGAAACATCGATTTTCCAACGTTTTAATTTATTTTTATGGGAGAGTACGATTATTTATCGGTAAAAACGGAAAAGAAAAACGCGACAGAAAGAATCTTTAAGATTCTAGAAATGGTATATTCGAAATTCATGCAGGAATCTTCGAACCGAATTAACTTTGGTTAAAAGATATCTATCTCTTCCGTGTCTCTGCTCGCCAATTCCCCTGTCGAAACCCTTCGAGACGCGAATATATTTATGGATTTATATAACGTATATTAACATATTTATTACATATCAAATGTAATAAATACATTTGATAAATTTCTCCAAAATTTAACTACATTTTTTCCTCACCAACCATAATGGAAAACATCTCTCTCGAGACTTCTCATCAATCGTTTGAAATATAAATTACTTAATTTATATCGATATAGACGATATTAAGTAATTTACATCCGCATAATTTATAAAAAAAGAAACACGTGGATATAAGGAAACACGTAGAAGAAACTGAAGAAGATTTTACGGGGCAAATTTAATAGACACGAAGCGATAGGGCGTTGCACGAAACGGTAGAAAACGACGAGAAGGGGATATTGGCGGCAGAAGGTTTGAACAGGGCGATATTGGCGGCACGAGGCACCAGGTCTGATGACTCTTGTGCCTTGAGACTCGACACCGAGTACCCGGGGGATTTAACGCCAGAAACTGGTTATCTCGGATCGTGAAACGCGATAGAAACTATCCTATCCTCGGGACGGTGATACCAAAGTTGACTACTTTTGGGTCGTCGAGTCGGCCAGTGATAACCAGTCCCCTCGATCATGATAACTCGTTGAATCGTGTTTTTGACATGTTAATGACGATGCACTGAGACGTGGCATGTCTCTTGCATCGTCTCTGATCACATCGAGCTCATGCTCCAACTCGTAGCTTTCATCTTCGTGAGATCACGATCCACGACCTGGGATGATATTAATCGATTGTCGATATTCACGCGTAAATTCTGTTATCGAACAATGTGATAAGTCGATGTAACAAGATATTCCACTATTACGCGCACGATCGATTTCGAATTCCACTTCTTCCTTCCTTTATCTCGTCAAACTTGTTTCACCTCTCCTCAACTTTGTTCTCTTAACACCGGTAATACAAGTCGTAATTGGGAGACCGGCTCTCGTGTACTTGTGTACGTAACTGATTTGGCAATAAAGGAATCGAGCAGAATATCGAAGCAAGAAAGTTGGATTTCGCAAGATTCGAAACGCGGCCAGAAGAGAGACAACGAGGCCGAGATTTCGGGTGCCACTGTCCACTCCGATGTTTCTCTAATTGGATCGCTCTTAGGTTAGGTTAGCTCTACTCGGATACAACCGAGTGGCGGGAAGCACGGGTTACTCGGCCCACTCGTAACTCCTAAATTCTATTTGCTTACGATAAATCCCTCCTTTCGTTCCCTCGTCCCTCTTCGCCAACCGTGAGAATTTGATTAGCTGCACAATCCACCTTCTGGCGACACCTCCTCTCCATCCAATCCCCAACATTCCAAAGTTTTCCCCCGGTTTCTTGGCAAGATTTCCACCCTCGAGTCATCGCATATTTTTCATGTACAATTGTGAAATGCTTTGTGATCGCGAACAATATTTCAATTTCGTTGGAAATCGATGTTATTTTTTTTTTTTTTT